TTAAGCAACTCTTCAGGTATATGAAAAAAATTGTTTATTGACAAAATTAAACAAAATGGCGGCTTCCGATAGATAAATATAAAGTGATGTTTAAAAATATGGCTCCGCTGCACGCAGTAGAAGTCTCCTGCACCATCATCTGCAAGCATAAAATTTTTTTTTCATAAACTAGACGAGTTTGTCTAGAGAAGTACACACGATTAAAATTAAAATTAATTAAAATTTCAAGTCATTTGGATAAAAACTCTTCGAGTTCTACTGCGTGCAGATTTCAAAAATGTGGTTTCTAGAAAATCGCAGTTAAAGTTTAAGAACACTACAACTTTTTGAAATCATGATAATATGGTCTGTAATAATTTTTTACCTTCACTCTGCTATCCCAGCACCATACAACTGCCCTTCCAAATTAGAATTTTGGTCCTCTTGTTCCTTTCTCGACGAAGTAATACTGCGTCTCGCCATTTTCTCGACTTCTGAAATCGAGTGTTCAGCGGCCTTAATGCGATTTGCGTCCGATTCCATACAGAAGTCGAGTAAAAAACGCCCAACTGTCATGCCTAGTGCATCGTAGATGGAAAATAAGCCGGATAATCCCTCGTTGAAAGTGATGGTGGAGATATCAGTCGCTATATCGAGAATTTTCTTTCCGCTTGACATCGATTTTGGAGCGATGGCCCATACGACTGAGTTAAAAGACTCATTTTGATTTTGAGTGTATCCGCCCAAGCAACGAGAGAGAAGATAATCGGAGCTCAAGTCTTTGTATATGGGCTTGATAGCTTCAAAGACATTTTTATGCATAGCAGGTTTATGCTGATAAGAGAAAAGAGTGCCTAACGCTTTGCTCTTTTGCCAAGAGCACCAAGAATCGACTCCGACTGGACACTTTTCGTGCTGCGGTTGTGCTGCACTTTACCAGTATACCAACCAATTAACGTAACAAAGCCAAAAAGAGACGAAAAACCTCGCTTTCTCCACGAACCGTCGCCAGATACTGTAAGCCCATCGACGTTATTGTGCTTCACAGTCAATAATTTTTCTTGTTCAACTGCACTTTTCACACATAAATTGCGTACGCTTTCGGTTGCAATCAAAATATTAGAAACAATTTTGTCGTACGTTACTTGAAAAACTGGCTTTGGAAGATCCATGAATGCGCAGAACTTTTTAATTCCGTTCCTTCCAACACCAAGTAGACGCATTGCAAAAGTCATACGTGTGTTGACTTCGTATGCACGATCATTAATCAATGGGCAACTGCTTATAGACTGTTGGCTACAATTATTGCAGTTTACAATAATTTTAAAGCCAAGCCCGCGTCTGCTGCCCTCTGAAAATGTCACATCACCTTTACACTCTTTGCATACCACAACTTGAGAAATAGCACTAAAAACAGTCAGAAAATTGATGAAACGATAGCCGAAAGATTCATCCACTTCTCTGTCACACTTGTCATCGTGCATTTTGGGTTTTTTTGCCGACGCGCTAACGTATTCTGAATCATCCTCGAAAGAATGACGGTTAGGCGGTCGCCTGTTTCCAATTTTGCTTCGAATTCGCGTTGGATACTTGCCCCTATTGCCTTTCTTGCCACTATACACTTTATCACTCATGATTCAGAAGGTTTAAATAAATTACGAAATCAAAATATCAACGGTAAACACTTAATTGCAACGCACATGATTGTGCGTTAACGATATACTCGAAATTCGCTCTTTTAACATCTTAAAGTTGCTCTACAAAAACCAATTTTTAGAGCATTTCTGAAGTCTTTTCATGCTTGGCTGTTATTGATTATTAATCTAGGAATGTTTTGACGCAATTTCAGTCAATAAAAAAAAATGCAAAAAAAAAAATTCTAACCAGATGTAACCCCTTAATTTTGACACAAAAAAAACTATTTCTCGTTAAAAAAATTTGTGTTCGTTATAAATTTTTTTTTTATATTTGTACAAATCAAAAAAGTTGTTTTAATAAATTGATCTATTTTTTTAAAACTTATATATTCACTTACACATTTGACACTCAAGGGCTTAATTTTAGAAATTCTTTCACAAAGTCATCCTTAACGCCATCTAGGGTTTAACGCGCGTATCACAGCTGCCGCTGTGATACATACATATATATGGTTATTCAACAACTGTATGCACTGTACACTTAAGACACTTATTATTAATTAACTATTTCTTAATTTATTATTATTATTGCATAAATAAGCACTCTAAATGTATATTAACCATTCCTAATAGTTATTTACTACATATTTCGTCGATTAACGATAATATTTCACAATGAACCGAAACGTAACCGAATCGTAACAGAATCGTAACCCAATTCGGTTACAACTCGGTTTTCCGAATCCGCCAGGGATATTATATTGATTATATCTTAATATTATGCATTTAATAATTTATACATCTTGATATTTTATTTTTAATATTGTTGTCAGTTATTGATTATAATTAGATTGATTTGTATAATAAGTATTTTATATAATTATTTATTAATTAAATATAAGACTTGAATATAAGACATTATTCTTAATCGTACTTAGTGTACTAATATAGTAGTGATATACATAAATTTTTTTTTTTTAATCCCATGACATTGAAGGACCAGGTAAATTCCAAAATTCGTCGGAATCTATAGATTCTTCAATTTCTTGTGTTTTCTTTTTTAGGATTTTCTTGTTTCTAATGGTGCTATAACAATGCTCCTTTTTGTGGCCTCTTTTATAGCAATATTCGCAACAATTTTCCCATTTAAACATTTTTAATTTAATTTTATTTGGTTCGTCAGTGGCCATTGCATGAATTCGGCCTCTAATATTTTTAGGTTTCTCTTCCTCACTGAAGTAATATACTCTATTTAATTCTTTTAATATCATAGACGCCGATGAATGTTCGGACTCTCTAATCGTTCTACTTTCGTCTCCTATTGCTGTGAATACGTTCTTATTCTTTGTATCTGTGGTAGTACACTTAACTTGCCACAATTTGTTAAAAGCAGGACCGGTCTCTGATACTACTGAGTATACTGGCTTATCAATGTTGTATTCCGCGGTTAGCTCTTCTAATATCCCTTTAGGATAACTAATGTCGGCAATGTTTCCTTTAGGAAATTTAAAGCTTTCGATGATTTCTCCTTTTAATGGTGGTGTGAATAGGATCGTCTCCAACATCTAAAAATTAAAATTTTGTTAATTTAGGTTATTCGTAAGCTAGTTTTAATTTATCTGCATGTTTTTGGAATCTTTGCCCACCTTCATTGGTTAGAATTGCATTATTTTTGTTCAAAATATCGACAATTTCGTATGGACCGTGATAATGGGGATCAAACTTTCTTTTTGGACCTTCTTTTAGTACATAAGCCTTATCGCCTATTTTTCCGTTGAAGGGTTTAGTTGTTTTGTCATATCTTTCTTTGGATTTTTGTTTCGCGGCTATTAAATTTTTGGCTGCTAATGCCCTTATTTCTATTAATCTGGTTATTAATTCGGATAAATAAGAACCATATGTCTCCAATTTTTCTTCTTGGGGAAAGGAACTAGGTGTACGAGCGGTTTTTCCAAAAATTAACTCATACGGAGTGAAGTTAGTAGCTTCATGGACGGAAGTATTATATGCAAACATGGCGAAGGGTAATAATCTATCCCAGTCGTCATAATCTCTAGCATATTGTTTTATATATTCTGCCAATACGGCGTGGCTACGTTCTAAAGCTCCATTTGTTTGGGGCCTGTAACCTGATGTTGTTACTTGTTGAATTTTGAAAATTTTTGACAATTTTGACATTAATTTTCCTATGAATGAAGTGCCTTTATCTGTTAAGATTACTTTTGGGGCTCCGTAGACCGAAAATAACTCTTTTGCAACCGCATGGGCTATAGTAGTTGCTGAAATATCAGGTATTGCAACAGCTATGCAGTATTTTGACAGGTGATCCTGCATTGTAAGGATATGGCAATTCCCGTCAGGTGTTGTGGGTAATTTTCCTACTGTATCTAAGGAAATTTTATCAAATGCGTCCAAAGGAGTGTCGGTTATGAGCATTGGTTCTTTTGTTTTTACACGTACTAGTTTTTGAGATTGACATGTAGGACATCTTCTCACAAATTCAGTTACTTGTTCTTTTATTCCTGGCCAATAAAATTTTTCGCGTATTCTTCTATATGTTTTAACTATTCCTTTGTGTCCTGCTATTTTACTTTTATGAAATTCACTAATGATGTCTTCTCTAATTTCTTCTTTTGGTACTGATACTTGTCCATAGCAAATGGTTACTTGAATATTGCTATTTTCAAAAATAGAATTAATAATTTGAAGAAATTCTCCTCTAATTAATTCGTCAGTAATATCTCCATGTCGAGAAATATGTATTTCTTCTATTTTCTCGTGGTAAAGGAGTTTTTTTAAATTACGCATTCCTATCATAATATCTTCTTTTATTAAAGGTTCAAAATGATTATTTTTAACAATTATGGTGTAGATATTATGTTTTCCTCTTGGGGTAACATAAATTTGTCCTTTTATAGGTCTTTTTTCCTTTATTTCTAATGGATCTAGTACTCCAATATCGATAAGTAATCTACTTATCGGTGTGGTGAATTCACAATCAGCTGCTAGAAAATGAACATAATTGTTTCTATAATATGTAAGATTTTCTCTGCTGCTAGTAATATTTTTAATCTTTGTATTTGCATATTTAGGCAAAATTGAAGGTTGAATTTTTGATAATGATGCGTTTATCATTAATTTTCTTTTAGTTGTTTCTTTTTCTGCACTTTCTTCTTCTGAGGTTTCTTTCTCAGAAGTGGATTCGTTTTGTTCGTACAGGGAGGTGTGATACGGTGTGGAAAAAGCTTTAGGATTTTTTATATGGTGGGGTGTGTGAATTTCTTCTAATTGTTCTTCTGTCATGTCGTATTCTAATTCTGTATTTTTGTTTTCTGTATTTTCTTCTGGGTTTTGTTCCCATATTGATTCACCTTTAGCGTAATCTCAATAAAAATCTAGTTTTTTGGAAAATTCTGAGTGATCTCCAGTTATTATTTCGTTTGCTGTTTTATGTATTTCTTCATCGTCGTTTCCATCAGAATTTGTTGTCCAATTTCTTGGTGAAATTCTTATTGAATTCGGGCGATTTGATAAGTATTCATTAAATTGTATTATTGACTTGTCTAATGTTTTAGCTATTTCTTCTTTTGTTAGGCATAATTCTTCTTCTTCTGAGCTACTATCGCTTCCACTTGCTGGAGGATCTAATGCATTTATTGTTTGCATTTCTGGTTCTATAGTGGGTATTTCCATTGTGACTATTTCGGGAGGTGCACTTTTTGGACCTGGTTCCGTTCGTAATGACATTGGAGGAAGTTGTAGACTGGGAAGTACACTTCTACTTGGTTTTTGAATTGGGGGTTCAGGTATTTCAATCTCTTCTTCATTGTAGCTTTCATCATTAGTCGAATCTTCGATTATTTTGACTCTAGGTTGTAAAGCTCTTCTTTTTGCTACTCTTTCTGCTATAGTACTTTCATATAATTTTGTTTTGGATGGAGGTGGTTTTAAAATTGACTTTGGTTTAGGAGCTGGCTTTGGGATTGGGTTGGGTTTTGGTTTAGGTCTAGGGGGTGGTTTAGGTTTATCAGTTTTTCGATTCATTAATATTTTGATTCGTGACTTGTTTCTTTCCAATTGGGAATCTTCTTCTGAATCATCAGTTATGACATTTCTGGATAATGCATCTGCATTGGTATTTAGTTTTCCTGATTTATGTGGAAATTCATAAGAGTAGTCTCTCAATTATAGTCGCCATCTTATTAATCTTTGTCCAGGGTCTTTTGTTGTATCTATCCATCTTAAAGGTTCATGATCACTAATTAACGTAAATTTCTTTCCGTAAATATATGGTCTGAAATTGTGAACAGCGTATAATACAGCTAGGCATTCTTTTTCCGTTGTTGAGTAGTTCAATTCAGGAGCATTTAATACTTTAGAAAGATAAGCTATGGGTAAATCAAAGCCGTCTTTCTGTTGACTTAAAACAGCACCTATCGCAAAATCAGATGCGTCCGTGGTTATGGTAAATGGTTTATCATAATCTGGGTATTGTAAAATAGGGCTTGTACATAATGCTTCTCTTAGTTCTTTAAAACTACTCTCTTCCTTTGGTCCCCAACTAAATTTTATGTCCTTTTTCAATAGATTTGACAGAGGTTTTGCCTTTGCTGAGAAATCCTTTATGAATCTTCTGTAATATCCAGCCAAGCCTAGGAAATGTTTTACATTTCGGGGTGTTTTTGGGGTTGGGAAGTTTTTTACTTCTTCTATCGTTTTGGGGTTAGGTTTTACACCTTCACTACTAATTATATGTCCTAAATATGCTACTTCTTTAAATAAAAACTCGCATTTTTCAGGTTGCAAGGACAAATTTGCTTCTTTAAGTCGGCTTAACAATCTTCGCACCTTTTTTCCATGTTCTTCTAGGTCTTTAGCGTAAATTACTATGTCATCTAAATAGACGAATAGTTCAGCACCTTGTAATCCAATTAATACTTGGTCCATTAATCTTTGAAAGGTGGCTGGTGAATTTTTTAATCCCATTGGCATTCTAATGTATTCGTAATGTCCATGTGTAGTTGAGAATGCAGTTTTTTCTCTATCTTTTGGATCTAGTTCTATTTGATGAAATCCACTGGCTAAATCAAATATAGAAAAGTACTGGGCCTTGCCCAAATTATCTATGATAGAAGTTATATGGGGTAGGGGATAAAAGTCGCCTACGGTCTTATCATTTAATGCTCTGAAGTCAATTACTATTCTCCACTTCTTTTTTCCAGTTCCATCAATTTTCTTTGGAACTATGAGTAATGGGGAGTTATAAGGAGAGCAAGAAGGTCCTATTGCACCTTCCGACTTCATTCTATCGATGACTTTATCGATTTCCTCTTTTTGGGATGGGGAAAATCTATATTGCTTTGTATGTATAGGTATTTCATCTGAGGTGAGTATTTTATGTTGTACCAAATGTGTTGACGTTAAGTGTTCACCCGGAAGGTGAAAATTATCCGGAAATTCTTGTATCACTTGTTTGACATGTTCTTTTTCTTCTTCATTTAAATGATTTAATCTTAAATGTTCTATAACGGCAGTGGCTTTATCTGGGGGTTCTATATATTCCTCTTCTGAAGAATATTCGTTAGAATCTTCACCTGGTAACTTATAAAATTCAAATGGTATAATTTCTAGGGGCAAAATTTCGATTTCTATGTCTTCTGCTGTTGTATTTATAGCATAAACATGACATACACTATCGTTGTTTGTTACTATTCCTTCACCTATTATTAGTCCTTCAGTTGTATCTAATAATGGTAAATATCCTTCCTTTAAATCGGTATTTAATACTTCAACTGGTATTACTTGTTTTGTTCTTGCTTTAATGGTTAAATTCAGCTTTTTATTTGTCTTATTTTCCGTTAGATTTTCTCTTGCATCTTTAGACTCATTGTCAGAGAAGAATATAGGATGAATAGGGTTAGAATGAGTCACTAAAGTGTTATGCCAAAAAGATATTTCGACTTTTTCTTCCCTTAGATATTCTCTTCCAAGAATACCATCTGATTCAATAGGAAAATTGGAAGGTACTGTTTGGAAAGTTACTGATTTTCCATGAATTTCCACTTGTACAGTTCCTAGTGTTTTAAATTTTATTGGTACTATTCCAGCGATATGAATTGCTTCGTCTTGAATTACCTCTAATTCTGGTTGTAATACGCATAATTTTATTAAATTAACATCCGCTCCAGTGTCAATTAGTAATGATGCAGTTGTTTCTAAGAAACTAGGTGATTTTATTTTTATTACTGGGGATTCTCTTGAGTTTCTTGCATGCAAGATGGTTCTTGTGATCGTAGAATCCTCACGTTTACTGGACGCTCTTTTAAATTTCCACTCGTCGTCGCGTCTGTCCGTCGAGCCATGTTTGAGTTTAAATTGTCCTTTTCTAAAGGATGAGGGGATTGAGCGCGTGGGGGCGTTCTGGAACCTTCATTACGTTTATAATGTTGACCTCCTGACTGAGGTACTTGAGGAAAGTAGGGATATGAATTGTAAGGAACATAAGCGTTAGGAGGAAAATAATTAGGGTGATTAAGATAGGGTTGTTGGTTATGTGTACCCGAAAATTGAGATGGATAAGGATTTTTTAATATTCCTGAAGGGCTTGTTGGTTGGGAAAAATATCTGGGTTGTTCCACAGGATAAGGAAATCGCACCCTTGGACTAAGGCTTCTTTCTCTGTTTCCATAATCATTAGATTGATTGGATCGTGAATAATGATAAGTGTTATATAGTCTGACTTATATGATTGATGACGGGCTTCATATTCTGAAGCACTTTTAAATGCTTCGTCCAAGGTTTGTAAATTTCTAGCTTCTATGGCGCTAGACATGCAGTCTGGGAGTCCTCGAATAAATGATTCTAGGGCACAATCTGCTAAAGGTCTCATCATGTTATCGGCACACAGCGTATCATATTTTTCCACTAGGGCTGCCTTGGCTCCTGCCATTAGGGTTGATATTTTGTCGTAAAATTCGCTGACACTATCACTGCGACCCATACGAATTGTAGATATTTGTTGTAAATATCCTGTGTATGATTTGCGAGGTGCAAATCTTTGCCTTAAGTGTTCTATTAACTCATCTATTTTACTATAAGTTTTACCATAAGTACTATCCCTTGCAGTACCCTTTAATCTAGAAAGAATACATTTTAAATATTGATCTTCACAACCGATTGGTATGCTGGAAGCACCATTTATTATGTCTTCAATAAAATCTCTTACGGGTATATTTTTACCATCATAAAAGGGAATGTTCATCATACCTTGTTGTAACGCAAAACATTCTGCCATAGAAGTGATCATAGAATCGCTTAGGGTTCTATCTATATTACCGGTCATAGTATGTCTAGTATTATCAGTAGCCATTGTTTACTAAATATAGGAGGAAAAATTAAAATAACTCGTTAATTATGTCAAAGGAAAAAGGAAGTCCTAAAATCCCTGCAATATCGGTGTTACTTTCACAATGTATTGTTTGAAATTCTAATACAGTATAATTTATGCATACTTTTGCTTCTCCGCATGTGTTTATGGTGCTATCGCGTAATGAATATTTTATTATTCGATTTATACCCAAATATGGATTTAATTCGCTTTCTTTAATTAAATTTATTGGTAAAGATGGGTCTATTAAAAATATACCTTCATTATGTGTAAAGAATAAAGAATTTAAAAGAATTTTTGGATATAATGTGTTATATTTCTCAAGAAATTGAAAATACGTGTTCATTCGTGTAATGGCGGCTACGTGTGTTCGATCCGTATCCGTAATGACGGTCGCGCCTGACTTAATACTCCTGTGGCTGATGTAACACGCAGGAATTTTAAAACTGATTAAAGGTTCGTCTACAATATCAATGTTACAAGAATAGATAGTCTTGAATATGATTTTCGTAGATGGAACTGCACAAGAACAACCGACGTTGATTAAAGGTGTTTTCACAACACTATTAGGATAAATATTATAGAAGTTCACTTAGTTTTTGTTTAATTAAATTGTTAATTATTTATACTTTTCTTTTAACTTCACTTTAGTTCTTTTGAATGATTTCGAATCTCATTAAAATCCTGAAGGATTAACTTGTTGAGAGGATTAAATAAAACATAATTAAGATTAAATATATTAATTGTTTTATTCAACAATTTATTTTAAATCTGAGTTCTTCCCTTTTATCCTTAAACTAATAATAAAATTACACTATTCGCCTCAAATTTTAAACTTGGATTTGAGCTTTATCTATATTTTTTAAATTCGTGTCAGAGTCAGAACCAAAATCTCTATCTCTGTATCTTGACTTCTCTATAGTATCAGAATAACCCTTTCATTTCTTCCTGACTTTCTTTCTCTCTGGCTAGCAACCTCAATCATCCTCCTTTTATAGCAGTATTCCCACTTTCTTCCAATCTGAGTCTAAATGTACCAACGAATCCTGCTTCGCAGTGATGACTCACGCTTAACAATTCCTCCAATTAGAGACATGCATTTAGTAATACTCCGCCCCATTTGACCTTGTTTGCCTCATCCCCATGAGTCATATTCTATTTTGGACGTCACTGTGACCTTGTTATTGTCGCGTAGGAGTATGACTCATGCTTGACCTTGTTATTGTCGCGCAGGAGTATGACTCATGCTTGACCTTGTTATTGTCAAGTAGGAGTATGACTCATGCTTGACCTTGTTATTGTCAAGTAGAAGTATGACTCATGCTTGATTTTATATTATGACTCATTCGTGTCTGCATTACATCCTTGAATTGATAATTATCCCTTTATAATTAAACTTCCCTTCAGCTTATTTTAACCCTTTTTACGCTAATTTATTATACAATAACCCTTTATATTTATATTAATTGCAAAATAATTAATTAGTTACAAAATAACAATGTCTAATTGAAAAAACTCAGATTCATTGCAAAAGGACCTTAATTACATTATTTCTTAAGTCCTTTCGACGTCTGCAGCCGATTTCAAAAATAGGTACTCGCATTTACCTGAAACAATCCTTCAGAGGAAAGGGGAAACTGCAGAAAACCCTTCCTAA